GCGTTTGGAGGGTGGAAGGGATTTGGAGTTAGGGTGGGTCACTATCGTAGCCACCTCCACGTGGTGTGACCCGGTAATCGGTATAGTTCTCTAAAGATTTTCTAGTCTTTAGAAAACTATACCGAGCTGAGAGCTACGGTTTTATTTAAAATATTTCATTCCTTTGCCTAATTTCCTGTGTTAACAAATTTTTGTCTGTTTCAGAATTTAATTCTTTGTAAGTTATGTTCAATGTATTTGTTTTATTCTAATTCCGAGCTGTGGGAGGACAGGGTGGGCTCGGGCGCAGGTTTTTCGTTACGCTATGTGACGAAAAGCTTGCGCGACGAAAAGCTTGCGCAAAGTGCCTTTTGTTCTAACTTGCACTCATCTTGACGACAATTTTTTAACTTGTTAAATATTAGTCTGTAGTAGTAACCTATCATTTTTATTAACAGTTGCTTTGAACTTAAAAGAAAGTTCTTCCAACTTTCTTCTTTTACTCTTTTCTTTACTTACTTTTACATTATACGAGTGCAATTTTGGAACAAAAGGCACATTTAGGGCTTTAATTTTATGTAAGTGTTTTCAATGTTCCATATTTGTCTTAATCATTTTTGTAGGTTTCAGGTTTTAATTTTAAGTAAGCAACTTATTTATTCATATGTGTCTTAATTGTATTTGTTTTTTTGTTTCAGTTTTTATTTTAACGATTCATGTTCTTTTTATTGTTACACCTATTTATTCTATAGGTAATAGGTGATCATTGAAGACGTCAATCACCGAGGGATCATCGAGGGATCATCGTGGGATGCGTGCGTTAGTTTTAAGCTAATTGTATGCGTGCGTTAATTGTAAGCTAATTTTATGCGTGCGTTAATTCTAAGTTAAGTGTGCTCGTGGGCAGGGCGGGTGGGTCCTTGTAAGTACCTCTCATTCTAAATTGCACTCATCTTCTCAATTCTGAAACTTTGTACGCGTTAGCTTGTAGTATACCCACTTATTTTTTGCCAATCGTTCTGCGCCCAAGTGGATCATTGGGGGTTCATAGCGCTGTGAACACGCGGTAGAGGTGAGCTGCAAGTGCCGGTGTAGCGCGAGTGATATTCTTTGCCCGGCGGGGCCGAACGGGGGGAGCACCTCTCATAGCATGATGTGCCCCCCCGATCTGCCGCCATACTGCCAAGGGGCATCACGGCAAGGGTGTCCTCTGTATAAGTCGCCCGCGCGTCAGAAATGGGAAACCCTCCGCCAACTGGGGTGTATCACTCGTTCTTGCCAAAGGTATCTTCGGTTCATCTTTGCCGTCGTGGTTCACGTAAGTCACTATGGACTACCCTTTGACCCATGGAAAGCAAGGTTCGCTTGGCGAAAAATAATGGTCCCCTTTTTTCACGGAAAGTTCTTCTAACTTTCTTAGCGTCTTTGCGAAAGTTCTTCTAACTTTCTTAGCTTCTTTGCGAAAGTTCTTCTAACTTTCTTAGCTTCCCCTTTGCTTTTTGAATTCGTCATAGATTATTTGAGTGCAATCTTAGAATGAGAGGTACCGTGCGGCGTTTAGAATAAGTTAAGCGTGCGTGTGTGGGATCCCTTGCGATTAGTATTAAGTTAATGTATGTGTGTGTGTGAGTGATACAAGTTCTTTGCTGGATTGTGGTAAAGAACTTGTATATGCGAGCGTATAAGCTAAGTAGAGTTAGTACTCATTTATCCTTCTGATAAATGAGGTTGCAATGGAGGGTGGTTGGGATTTGGAGTTAGGGTGGGTCACTATCGTAGCAACCTCCACGTGGTGTGACCTGGTAATCGATATTATTTTCTAAAGATCTCTTAAAGAATAATCTTTAGAAAATAATATCGAGCTAATAGCTACAAATCATATTTAAAATAAAAATTCATGTATAATTAGTAACATGTATTTAAAGATTTAATAATATATTAAATTTTCATAGTATAATGTATTATTAAAATTACTAAATTTTATACTATATTATTTAGATTATATTTATATTTATACTATATATTTTTATTTATATAATTATGTATATATTATATATTAATAACATTTTAATCATTACTAATTGCTTCATTAATTAATGTAAGTGTAGCTATAGTCAAATTTTGAATTTGTCCCGCCTCATGCGCGTAGATCCATGCGCAGTAAGTATGACATAAACCTATAAATTAATTTAGAGGTCCATGTCCCATAATTGTTCCAAACTCTGCCACTAGGTGGGATAATTTTCTTTAATTTTCTCACCAATTGTACTAATGAGGATTGAATGACTTTTGATGATGATTATACTAACTTCAGCTAATTTGGATATTGTGACAGTCGGATAGAAGCTAAAGTTGATCCGAGTTGATCAGTGCTTTGGCTAATTGAATATTGATATCGCTATAAAATTGATTTTAGATGTTTATACTTCGCTCTATGCAATAAGAGAGATTCGAAGTTAATTATTCTCATATAGTACTTAAAAATTTATATATACATGCTATCTCTACGTGTATGCAAATCGTATTAGGCTAATTAGAATGTATAGTTACTATTTTTAAAATATGGTTAATATGTGCATATGTAATATGTTTACATATATGTCATCAAAATAACACTTCGTCTTGAATTTTCTGTGTGATAATTTTCTTAAAAAGATGTATGTATCTGTTACTTAGTCGGTGGTTTGATAGGTACTGGTCAATGCACAAAATGGAAATAATAACTTGTATAAAAAATTGCCATAAAAAATTTTCAAGATTGAGTTAACATGACATTTTGGTACTACTGACATCGGATTGCATCGAATGTGTTTTTCGTCCATATAAAATCTAATCACTTAGCCGAACAGTGAAATAAATTGTTAACAAGTGACGATGGCTAATCACTATGAAGTACCTAATTGGTAAATCTATAAAACTTCTATACAGATTTATAAGTAACCAATTGAATATAATGTTTGTAAATATTGGAGTGTTCAATACAGATTGTACAGGTTATGTTTTTCAGGGCTGGAAAGCCACCAGTTGGATTACATTTAGATGTATTAAAAAATGATAAATTAATCCAGGTATATCAGTGTTTTATTATATTTAGTAATTAACAGATCCCTTCTTTCGAACAGGAATACCAGAAACATTACTTTTTTCAGAAACTAATGGTCGATGAAAAGAAATGTTATTTATTTGGTCGTAATCAACAATTAAATGACTTTTGTATAGATCATGCATCTTGCTCTCGTGTTCATGCTGCACTAGTTTATCACAAACATTTAAATCGTGCATTTCTTGTTGATCTGGGTAGCAGTGAGTGTCATGTAATCATTTTTAATTTGTCGCTTTAAAACCGAAACAAATCATGATCAATGTTTCAGCTCATGGAACTTTTATTGGTAATCTTCGTTTAGAACCACATAAACCTACACAGTTACCTATTGATAGCACATTTCATTTTGGAGCTTCTACTCGATACTATATTATTAGGGAAAGACCACAAACTGGTACAAGACCAATTATCGAGGAGTTAGAGAAACTGTCAGAAGATATTGATGCTGGTGGTTTATTGGGTTTACCAGAAACAGAAACAGAACTTGATGTATATATTAATTTGCTTTCGCATCATAATGTTCTAGTGCATAATAGCTAATAGTAATACTTGTATGTAATTACAGAATTTGACAGAGTTCAATACTGCACATAATAGGCGCATATCGATGCTAGGTATAACAGATGATGAAATTCACAAACCAACAAGAAAGCGTAAGAAAAAGGGAATTACGTTTAATGATGATGAAGAAGTAATAAATCCAGAAGATGTGGACCCATCAGTTGGCAGATTTCGTAACCTTGTACAAACTACTGTAGTACCCAGTAAAGTAAGAATCGTTTTGGCATAGCCTTTCAAGTTACTTCCATGTTTTTTAATGCATTTAATTGTTCATATTTTAGAGAATGCGTATGGAAGGAGGTTTAATATCTTTATCAGAGGATCACAATCCTTTGAAACACGTTCAACCTACAACAACAACGCCGCAACTGTACCACGACTTACCCCCAGAGCAGTTTACTCCATCGTCACTATCTCTTAATCCATTTTCCAGTGCTTTGTCTTCGTTATCGTCACGACTTGGTATCGCATTACCAAATCCGGCACCCGAAGTGGAAATGACACCTAATCAAATACCGGCGGAAACACCACACGTACCAGAAATACCAGGACCTACGGAAACGCGAGCTATGGAACCGAAAAAGAAAAAATATGCCAAAGAAGCTTGGCCCGGGAAAAAACCCATACCTACGCTTTTGGTATAGTAGTGTTAAGAAACTTATTTTTGTCCAATAGTTTTATTATTCATATTTTAGAAATTAAGTTACGTAAGAATTCGTGCATAAATTTGTCGTATAAGATTTAAAAAAGATATGTTTAGTTATCGTTGAATAATCGTATCGATATCTTGACATTTCATTCGAACTTATTTTAATCGTAACTGTACAGATGTATCGTAATACGTAAATTTATCTTATCAATTTCGTTTTCGATTAAATATTACTTTAGATTTAATTAACGTTTGTACGTAACGTTTCACGTCAAGATCAAAATTGTAATTAAAATTTCTTGTAAGATAAAGGAGCATGAATAAACAGAATTTATTTTAATTTAGTGTTAAGAAGAATGTAAATCAGAGTGATGTTACGAGAGCTTCTTTGTGATATAATATTTAGATTGTTCCACCGAAAATTTTATTTAATTTTATTAAACCCAAGGATTTTATAGTAAAATATTTTTAAGTTTAGTCTTAAACGTAACATTTATGTGTAAGAGGTATTTACGAATACATACAGTATCTTTATTTTATAATTACGTTATTTCTTTATGGAAGCAGCAAACAAATTTTTGCTCTTGCACTCAGTGCAATAATTGTAAATTAAATATCAATTAAGTTTAAGAGATTTGAAATTCGTAATAAATCCCACTTTTAGTACTCTAATACAGAGTCGAATTTTTATTTTTCAATATTGTTAAAAATTTCTAAATTGTCCATAAGCAACTGATGCAGGAGTGGGAGTGTTTTTGAATAAAAAGACAACAATGTTATCAAAAAGACATTTTATTAAAAAAATAAATAATTTAACAAATCACAAGACAAAGAGTAATGGTACATAAAAATCATTTTTTCATATTTGAATTTAGCCGATGGTAATAGCTTTTTCTTTCCAGGTAGCCAAAATGAGCCGGCTATATTTGAAAGAATTGTAGGTGTTCATTTTTAATATTCCAATGATGCATCTGGTGTGGTCGACGATTCAAGCGCGACTTCTTCATAATCCCTCTCCAATGCGGCAAGATCATCACGTGCTTCGGCAAATTCACCTTCCTCCATACCTTCTCCTACATACCAGTGGACGAATGCTCGTTTATGAAACATGAGATCAAACTTGTAATTCAATTTCGCCCAAGCTTCTTCGATGGCCGTAGTATTCGATAGCATCGACACAGCCCGTTTAACCTGAACAATTTTCAAACAGCAATGAAGGCTTTACATTAGGAACATCATATCAATGATACATTCTTCCAATATCATATTCTTAGGAATTTCAAGATCTTACATTCTTCTTTTAAGTTCTGTACTTTCCCATTTTTCAATGTAGTTACAAGTGTGTACATGAGTCTAGATATTCAGTGTTACAAACCGTGATGCAATACTGACTTGTATGGTACAAGTACTCAAAAACTTTGATTGTGTAATCCACGCAATACGTAATTACTTTGCTCGTTTATCGGTTATCATTACGTGGTTACACTTGACAGTATCATTATAGTAAAGATAAAGTATGACAATGCAGTTATTTCAAAGAAATAAGATGATCTTGAAATATCCTCGGTACTATGAAGAATATAATTTTTTATAAATAAGCATTTCAAAGATATGCATTTGAAGAATGAAAATCAATTGAGGACTTAAAACATTTCTGTCGACATAAAACTTCATTGTTAGTTTCGATCGTAAATTCAGACATAAGAAACTTATGTAATAAAATGGATACCTTCGCAAGGTCTCCACCAGGAACCACGGTAGGTGGCTGATAATTGATGCCGACTTTAAAACCAGTCGGGCACCAATCAACGAAGCGTATGCAACTTTTCCTCTTCATCGCGGCTATTGCTGCATTTACATCTTTCGGTACCACGTCTCCGCGATACAACAAGCAACACGCCATGTATTTACCTTCGCGTGGATCGCACTTGACCATTTGATTCGATGCCTCGAAACATTCGGAGGTTATTTCCGCGACGGACATTCCCTCGTGGAAAGCTTTGTCTGCCGACACCACCGGGGCATAAGTGGCAAGAGGAAAGTGAATTCTAGGATATGGTACTAAGTTCGTTTGAAATTCGGTCAAGTCCACGTTCAAAGCGCCGTCAAATCTCAAGGAAGCGGTAATTGAAGATACCACTTGACTAATTAGGCGATTTAGATTAGCGTACGAAGGTCGTTCAATTCCAAGCTTCCGTCTACATATGTCGTAAATTGCTTCATTATCCACCATAAATGCACAGTCAGAATGACCTATTGTCGTGTGAGTCGTAAGGATTGCGTTATATGGTTCCACGACCGCCGTAGATACCTAAATAGTTACATACTTTTATTCGCCACGATCGCAACCGTATCGAGTAACGTGAGTACTAAGTAACCGTAGAAGGAAAAGAAATTCCCGGAATCGATGTGTGCGTACTTGTGGTGCCGGGTACACTGCAAATTCTAATTTGCTCTTTTTCCCGTAATCGTCCGAAAGCTTTTGCATGAGCAAAGAAGTGAATCCCGACCCGGTTCCTCCTCCGAACGAATGGAACACAAAAAATCCCTGAAGTCCAGTGCATTGATCTGTCAGCCTTCGAACTCTGTCCATCACCGAATCTATCACTTCTCTACCGATCGAATAATGGCCGCGGGCGTAATTGTTCGCAGCATCTTCCTTTCCAGTGATTAATTGCTCCGGGTGATACAGTTTCTTGTAGCAGCCTATTCGTACTTCATCTGTAACCAAGTATCCCTGATTATCTTTCAATGTTCGTATATTGTTTCTACGAAGAATGATTTGTAATACAAGTTTCTCGAATAATGCAAACGTTACGTATAAACATGCAATGTCCCTCTAAATGGTACAAACTTGGCAAATTATCTCCCACCGCTTCCTCGTTTCATAAAAACGTGGCTCACTCCCACTCATTCGCGTTTCTTTCTTCTGACGAATTTACGATCAATGAGTATCGAGTAGGGGTTACTGATAACAGCGACCGAACCCCAATACGGTACCCCTTTAATCGTAAGTAGTACAAATTAGGCTCCTCACCACCCACCCATTTCAGGATTACACGCTGCTACACGTGGTAAGCATAACATTCACATTATTTACTTTACTGCAAAAGCGGTAGGGATAATGATTTGTCACTAACAAAGAAACCTTGTTGCTTCGAGTAATTGCACTGTACTTACATAAATACACCTGTGCTCATGCATATATAATCAGGTTAAAAAATGTTCATTTCACTACACAAGACACGTATTTTTATCAGTGAATCGTATAGGAAAATATTTGACTTGTCAGATATTTTTCAGCTTTACGTATTTCGAATTCCATTGTGTAAGATCCTTGAACGATCATTTTTTAACTTCTGATTGTTGTTGCACGTGTACACGAAGACGTCACGTGAACACGCAATTCGTTCCGCGAGAATATGTTGCGTCGCAGGGTCAATTAAACTAACCAACGACAGTAGGTTCAAGATCAACCATCACAGCACGCGGTACCATCTTTCCGGAACTGGTTTCGTTGAAAAAGGTGTTGAAACAATCGTTTGTACCGGACACTTTGTCTGACGGCATCGTACCATCCGGTTGGATTCCATGTTCGAGGCAATACAATTCCCAGCACGCATTGCCCATTTGAACGCCCGCTTGGCCCACGTGCATAGAAATACACTCGCGCTATAACGGAACATAATTGTCATTAAACGTTTCGATGCCTTCAAAGCGGATACCAGGCGATACTTTGTACAGATGAATTTAAATCAAATTTCACAACGTAATTCAAAAATGAATTGCACAATTAAAATATTGCACAGTTAGATAAACTTATTTCTTCGTCATCGTGTTAAGATTAAAGTTCAGAAGGAAGTCATGGTGTAAGAAAATAAGATATCGTGAATTTCACATATAAATATATCATACCATTTTGACGATTTTTTGATAATATGTTGCTCGGTATATTATTTCGGATTTTCTTGAATCGTGGGGTCGAAAATGGATTTAAAAAGGATATTGATTAATTACGAAAAATTTTGTAAGTCGGCCATCCGCTACCTCGGAGAAAAAGTGATAATTTACTTCAGTTGTCTGGACAACGAAACTGCATAATTTCGAGAAAAGAAAAAAGTTGAAATTCGTTTTATTTGACCGCGGCTGTACGAATGTACTTGTAATAATTGTGTAATTTCTACTATTTATTTTACTTATCTAATTTAAACACGTTGTATCAGTGATATCATTTATCGATGTTATTTCATTTGCAATTTCCGTATACTTTTTTTTAAACAGTTTAATTTTATTGCAATACATTCTTCTTTAAATTGAAAAATGAAATTTTATATTAAATATTTGCTGATCTGCTAAGTCATGATTCGGTTCATTATGTCAGAAATAGTAAAAAGATTATAAATTTGTTTCAATTATCTCGCTGTGAAGAAATTGATTACCATGTGAACATGTTCCAATACACTTTAAAAATAGATAGCAAAGTGGAACGTTAACGTTCGGCAAAAGTCAACGACCTTGACATTTTAGCACAGTGTATCTTGATGGGAGTAGTTTGAGTAGTGTGCAATCGTTAGGATCTCTAGGGCCGTGTAGACGCGTCCAATTGATCATGCGCGTGCTCGCGCACGTGCTATTAGATCATTTCATAGTTCACTTTATGATAACTGTCCTGCACAGGAAAAAGTCTATCGGTTAGTTGGCAGTGTCCGAGTTGTCACTCGTATCTGTTTGATGATGACACGAGGAGTTATTCTTTGATTAGCATGAATCTGATGCTTCAGCGTGACTCGTGAATAATTCGAAATTTTTTAAACGGTATGATTTACTCTAGCATAAGTGCCTGTAGTGCGTGTAAACGAATCAATCATGGATGCTAGCAAGAAGTATGATAATCCTAATCCTCAGTTGTCAGCAAACATTTTTAGTAAATTAATATTTTGGTAAGTCTTTAACATACATTTTAACAATTGATTTAAAATAGTGAAAATAATAAATGTGTACATTTAAGGTGGTTGAAACCTTTGTTCTGGTATGGAAAGGACCATGATCTTGAACTTAAAGATATATATAATGTAATGCCAAGCGATGTTAGTCAACATCTTGGAGATAAACTTGAAAGGTAAAGACGGGCTAATCTTATGTATATACGATTAATATCAGTGGATTTCATAAAATTATTGTTACATTATCACATTTATCTGTAGGAATTGGCTAAAAGAGATTAAAGTGGCTGAGAAAGCTCATAGAAAGCCTAGATTTTTCACTGCGTTACGAAAAACATTTACATGGTCCTTTGCTTATTACGGAGGATGGCAGTGTTTTTTATCGGTCGTTATAAGGTAAAAGTCTTCTTCATACATTGTTTGGCAATAAATAACATGATCTTAATATTACAGAGTTTTACAACCATATGTGCTGGGTCTGTTAATTTGGCACTTTGATCCTAGAGCTGTATCTACTGCCAGTGAAGCATATATTTATGCTACTGCTGTTGTACTTATGACTTTTTGCGGGGCTTTTATTATTCATCATTCAAATTTAGGTTTAATGGAAGTTGGAATGAGAGTTAGGATAGCTTGTTCTTCCTTAATGTATAGAAAGGTGCTGTAGATTGTCTTTTATAAATTTGCTTAATTTATCAAGTATTATTTGGAATATCTCCTTTTCTCAGATTTTACGTCTATCAAAATCTTCTACCAACATTACTACTCCAGGGCAGATTATAAATTTGCTATCAAATGATGTTGGGAGATTTGAACAGTTGTTTATAACATTACATTTCATTTGGATATTACCAATTCAAGGAGCTCTAATTGCGTTTATGATTTGGAAAAATGTTGGAATTGCTGCTTTAGCCGGTGTTGTTCTTATAAGCATCCAAACTATACCACTTCAGGGTACGAATACAATTCTTCATTGACAAGGTTTCATATAGAAAAGTGGTATTAAGTAATTTAATTCTATTTCAGGGTATATGGGGAAATGGATATCAAAATTGCGATTGAAAATTGCGATAAGAACAGACGAAAGAGTACGTTTAATGTCAGAAATTATTAGTGGAATTCAAGTTATTAAAATGTATACTTGGGAACTGCCGTTTGAAAAGCTTGTTAGTCTTGTTAGAAGGTATGTCATGCATTTTTATGAATAAATCGTGTAATATTTAAACGCCTATTTCTGTTTTAGTCGAGAGGTAGACATCCTTACACTTACGTCGTACTTACGAGGTTTTACTTTAGCCACTTTTGTGTTCACTGAACGATCAACATTATATTTTACAATTCTGACATATGTACTTCTCGGAAACGTTATATCCGCTGATAAAGTATTTTCAATGGCGCAGTACTTTAATATTCTGCAACTTACTATGGCAATTTTATATCCCATGGCTGTATCAGCTGCTGCAGAAGCCTCTGTATCCATTAAAAGGCTCGAGGTGCGATATATGATTATTAATATTTACTGTAATATGTTTTGTATTCTTACAGTAGTACTTTTTTTTAGGAGTTCCTTACATTGAAAGAGAATAACACTATGATTAATCCTCCACAAACTGGAGATGGCAGTATTATAATGAAAAATATTACTGCATCTTGGTCCGACAACGCGATTGTAAATACGTTACATGACATTAATGTTAAAATAGAACCCGGAAAACTGTATGCCGTTGTTGGTCTAGTTGGTGCAGGAAAGGTATATCAGGAAATCGTATTTTTATAATTAATAATTTACAATATCAAATCAAATTTATACATCCATATTTCAGAGTTCCTTCCTTCAATTAATTTTAAGAGAGTTACAACAAACTTATGGAGAAATATGTGTAAATGGTAGTGTGTCTTATGCTAGTCAAGAAGCGTGGCTATTTTCAGGCACGGTACGAAATAATATTCTTTTCGGGCTACCTTATGATAAAGAAAAGTATAACGAGGTTGTTAAAGTGTGTGCTCTCTCAAAAGATTTTCAACAATTTAACTATGGTGATAAAACGTTTGTTGGAGATAGAGGCGCAGCCCTTAGCGGTGGACAACGCGCTAGAATAAATTTAGCTAGGTAATTATTAATGAAATAAAATTAATTTGACGTCGATAATTACGTGGATAATTATTGTAACAGGGCTGTGTACAGAAGTACAGATATTTATTTACTAGATGATCCGTTATCCGCGGTCGACACTCACGTGGGAAAACAATTATTTAACGAGTGCATCAAAAGTTACCTCCGAGATAAGACAAGAATTCTAGTAACTCATCAAATACAACATTTAAGAAATTGTGATTATATTATTCTGTTAAATAATGTAAGTAATGACTACTAAAATCATAATCGCGTTATTATTAGTTGTACTATCATGGCATTTATTTTAGGGCAAAATCGAGTTTCAAGGGACATTTACAGAGCTTCAAGCGAAACGTATAGATTTTCTAAAAACACTATCATTAGAAGAAAGTAAAGGAGATGCCGAAGTCGTAGAAGTTGGAACAAATAATACGCTTGATGTAGCCATCGCGTCTGGTAACGATAAAGACGATGACGAAGCTGAACCAGAGGAAACAGAGGAATTAATGGCTAAAGGAGATCTTTCTAAATCACTTTACTGGAAATACTTCAGAGCTGGAGGTTCTGTGATGATGATTTTGTGCTTTCTGATTACTTTAATCCTAGGACAAATAGGAAGCAGTGGTAGCGACTACTGGGTTGCTTATTGGTTGGTATATCTTGTCATATTACTTTTAATGCCAATTTTGCACATTCTTATTTTATCTCTTTTATTTTCAGGACAAGACAAGAGGAAATGCGTATAAAAAATGATCACGATAATCATACATTAGAAATACTTAAAAGTAATTTTACAAATCCACTTGCTTTTACTGAAAATATGAATGAAACAATGAACGACACGTTCCCATTTGATTTAAATGTTTCTACCGTAGAACCAGAATTATCGACGTCCTTAGAAAACAGAAGTGCTAATAATAGTGTACGTCATTTTACTCAACTTATCTCAAACTGAGAAAATAGCAGCTATTCTGATTGTGTTTTTCTTGTAGGTGTGGACTATGAATGCAATTTCCACAGATACGTACTATCTTGATTACGAAACAGCTTTATGGATTTACGGTGCCTTTATCTTTGCAAGCATATTGTTTACTTCCATAAGAAACCTCGTATTTTATAAGCTGTGCATGAACGCCAGCAAAAATCTTCATAATCTCATGTTTTCTTGTTTGCTTAAAGCCCCGATGTTATTTTTCGACACACACCCATCTGGCAAGTATTAAGCAAAGAAATATACATTAACAATTATTCAGTATTTTTATAATGTTAAATTTTAGGTCGTATCTTAAATCGTTTTTCCAAGGATGTTGGAGCTGTCGATGAAGTATTACCGAGAACAATGATAGAATCTGTCCAAATATTTGCAGTGATGGTTGGAATTTTAGCTCAAGTTTTGATTATCAACTGGTGGACACTATTTCCAATGATTGTCATGGGTTTCTTATATTGGCAAATAAGAAATATTTACCTTAAAACTGCGCAAACTATGAAACGTTACGAAGGAACCAGTATGAGTTTCATAATTTATTAAATGCTAATACATTTTGATGCAACATTATTAATAATTTTTTCAAATATTTCAGCAAAAAGCCCTGTATTCTCACATGTCAGTTCCTCCTTATTGGGGTTGACAACAATTCGCTCAGCTTGCGCGCAAGACATGGTTCGTAAAGAATTTGACGTTCATCAAGATCTTCATACTAGCGCTTACTATTTGACTCTAGTAACAGGCGTTGCTTTTGGATTTGCATTAGATATCGTCTCCATTTGTTTCATTACTTTTATTACGTATAGCTTCATCATATTTGACACGGGTAATTTAGTACTTCATAAACATCGTTAGCATGATTCATTCTGTATGATTAATGCATCGGCGCGTATCTTTGCAGGAGATACATACGCGGGAAATGTAGGTTTAGCTTTATCACAAGTATTAATTCTGTGTGGAATGCTTCAACACGGAATGCGTCAAACGGCTGAAACAATTGCACAAATGACAAGTGTAGAACGAATCTTACAATTTACGCAACTCGAAAAAGAGGGACCATTCGAAAGCGAACCAAACAAGAAACCGTCCACGCAATGGCCTTCCGATGGTGGAATCACTTTTGATCACGTTTATTTGCGTTACGCAGACTCGATGCCTCCGGTTCTTAAAGACTTATGTTTTGTCATAAGACCGGGTGAAAAGGTAATCTTATTACTCATTGATAAAATGAACGTACTGTTCACTGAAACCTATACATAAATGTATTTTTGTTCTTTAGGTAGGAATAGTCGGTCGTACTGGTGCCGGTAAAACCTCTCTAATATCAGCCTTGTTTCGCTTAACGAAACTTGAGGGTGCTATTTACATAGATAATATAGATACAAAAGAAGTAGGTCTCCATGACTTAAGAAAGAAAATCTCTATCATTCCGCAAGAACCTATTTTATTTTCGGCGACACTTCGAGATAATCTCGATCCATTTCATAATTTCGATGATGCTACTCTTTGGGCTGCGCTCGAGGATGTAGAACTAAAAGCATCGGTATCCTCACTAGATTATTACGTGGAGCAAGGAGGAGCCAACTTTAGCGTAGGGCAAAGACAATTGATTTGTCTAGCACGTGCAATTCTTAGAAATAATAAAATTCTGCTTCTTGATGAAGCAACAGCTAACGTGGATCCTACCACGGATGCTTTAATACAAAAAACTATTCGGCAAAAGTTCAAAAATTGCACGGTACTAACCATTGCACATAGATTGAACACGATAATGGATAGCGATGAAGTGTTAGTCATGGATCACGGTCAAGCAGTCGAGTTTGATCACCCATATATTTTACTTAAAAATGAATCAAGTTACTTTAGCAGCATGGTCAAAGAAACTGGAAAAACAATGGCCGAACAACTTAGAAATATTGCAAAAGAGGTATGCAGAATTTTCTTTTACTCGTAATTTCTATGATTGCAACAATTTATTGTGTATAATTTTACAAATTTTTATCATATTTTAGGCTTATAATAACGTTTCCAACAATACGGAATCACAATTATCGCCACAAACTGGCAATGGCAAAGCCATTTCCAAAGATGATTAAAGCATGAATATGCTTCTAAAGATTTATATGAATATTAGTAAATCATGCAACGTCCGTACTTTTTTATGTACTTATTTAATTATTTTTAAGAACAGTACGTACTTATTTTATAATTGCAAACTTTAAAATAATCTATAGAATGGATTTAAAATTATTGTAAAGTCAAATATTTAATTTTGATACATTTTTGGAATACTTTAATGTACTAGCTTAGATCTCGTATAACTTTGACACTTAACAATATTGTTCCTATTAAATATATTCGGATTTACTATTTAACACGACATAGCGACAGTACGTGAATAGTATGAAATATGTTTTTATGCCAACAGTGGTCCATTTGCGAGAAATTAAGCGCTAAAGATTATTGTACCTTATATACTAATATTTTGATATTCTTTGAACACAGAGTATTACAAAACATATTTTATATATTCTGCTTTAATGTTCCAACACGCATGATTTTATAAGCAATATTGTACAATGTCAAGAAAGATTATTATATTAAATATTGTATAAATATAGTATGTATTTATTTAATCTTCTCTTTAATAACAACACCAGAATTCTACTAAACTACTTTCTTAACTCTCTTTTCGATAAACTAAATTTTTTACAAATACATTCTAGAAAAATATCAGTCTCATATAACAAACTTTATTACAAATTATTTTAGGCCATTTTATGTATATTTAAGTAATATGTAAAACATTTAAGTATGCAAAGAACTATATTAATTGAACAGCACCACTTTTAACTAAATCTGCAACAGCTTTGTATGGTACAATATGTTGTGAACCTGGTTCAAAGTCTATTTCTTCGTCTAACGATCCAGGTAGTACAACTCCACTAATTCTATCGTTAGCCCGTAAAAATACATATGCTTGCATGTTGGGTTTTACGATTAGTTGATCTTTTTCGAACGTTTGAAAATTCCCAGGCATATAGTTCAAGGCAGTTGCTTTAAAAAGCGTTTCGATACTTGCAAGAAAGTCTTTTGCAAATTGAAGCTCCGCGGATGTTAGATAACATTCTTCCAAAGATCTATTGGCTTCTTGGGAAAGTATATGAATAGCATATTTTTCAATCTTTTCTAATCGTATCCTAAGATAGCTAGATATCAAAAATCTAATCCTGTCTAATTCCATCATGTGTATCAGTAATCTTAGATCTCCTTTTTCTAACCTCTTCATGTTCTGCTCCATATGTGTGATTTGTTGCAACATACAGTCAACCAGATCAGACTGATGCGGCAAAATTTCAGGTGCAAATTTTTCATTCAACCACGCTTCCTCTATCGCCAACAAAACACCTTGAGCTGTAAATTCTTGCCCTTCGGGTTCCTCATCCTCTGGTTTTGCTCTCGCTTCCGATTCATTCTCCATGTTCTACACCTTTCTTTCTCAACCAGTACTCTTATAAAACACAGTACACTCGATTCGTATGAGTATATTGTTACACTTGTTTATATTTTAAATACAATACTTCACTGACGACAGAAACATCAATCGACTGATTGTTATTGGTATACAGAGGCAAGGTGGTCGTAATATCACTTGAAATGAATTGCACGATGTCACGTGATTCAATTCGATATTTCTCGTAGTTTGAATTCGAATCGAGAACTAACTCGTAATAAAAGATTAACGGTAATCGTGACGTAAACGAGTGTACATTTGAAAAACAACTCCTAAGAAAACCATACTGTTCCGGAACCTACGAAAGCTAAACAACAAAATCACTCTCTATTATTATAAGCCGGTTACAGCATGAAACCATATTAAAGTTTAAATCTAAATAAAACTTATATAGATACAAGAATCGCGAATGTGTAATATGCCCGTCTTAATATTCCTTTCTTACGCGTTTCTCAATGCGTGCATGTGCAGAGGGAAGATTGACGAAATGAGTTCGCGCTTTTTAAAACGTAGTCGACCGACTAAGAAAAAATTGAAGATTCCATTATAAGGTTAAGATCGCTGTAGAAGAAGGGTATCAAAGGATAGGGTGATTCTTCGTGTTTTATTCCTATTTTACCCTCGTAAGGTTTCTGTGTGCGGCACTAAAGATACACCAAGGTATTCTTAAATCCTCGTTAACTTAATAAAGACCTTCTTAAGACTGTTTGTCGTCTTAGATCGCGATGACATATAGAAAACCGGACGTAAGGGTACATATGGCAGAGGCGAACCAGGAGGACGGTTCATATTTAAACGAAAGCCGAACGAGATAGACACGAGTCGCATCCAACAGTGGACCTAACAGCCTTCCTATATCCTTCTGTTCAATTTATTTTAATAATCGTGGCAAATTGAAACTGGACCGAGTGCTTGGATTAGTTCGTTTTAGTACGATTTTCTCCAAGTAGCCTACAGGTGAGCTGCATAGTGTTGGTGTTCCCAAGTGTTCTCAGTGTCACGAAACGGTGTTATCGAAACTTTTCAACTGTTTCTAGATTTCAGAATGCCTCACGTTACGGGGCCCATCTACGAGGCGTACCAAGGTGGTACTAGGTACGGTAACATGACGGTGGCCGACAAAGTGCCACCGGAAATGCTCCACCTGATCGACGCCCACTGGTACCAGTATCCACCCCTGAACCCGATGTGGCATGGCATCCTCGGCTTCGTGATCGGTGTGCTTGGTTTCATCTCGGTTTCCGGAAACGGGATGGTCATTTACATTTTCCTTTCGACAAAAAGTCTTCGTACGCCGAGTAATTTTTTCGTGATCAATCTTGCCATCAGCGACTTCTTGATGATGTTCTGCATGTCTCCACCTATGGTGGGTTCGAACATATTGCAAAATCATAGCGTTGAACAAAAAGAAAGTGAACCGATTTTATCAAAAATATTTAATTAAAAATTGAAAACAAATGGAGGCACGAATTTTTTTATTTGATGCTCTGATTTTGTAAAACTTTTGAAGGTTCATCTCGTGAAAGGAAATATAAGTATTTGTACTCTGGACAGGTAATCAATTGCTATTACGAGACATGGGTACTCGGACTAGTCTTTTGTCAAGTTTACGCGATGTTGGGCTCCCTGTTCGGATGCAGCTCCATATGGACGATGACGATGATCGCATTCGACAGATACAACGTAATCGTGAAAGGACTGTCTGGTAAGCCACTGACCATAAATGGAGCTCTCCTCCGTATATTGGGCATATGGCTATTTTCCTTAATATGGACAATCGCGCCTATGTTTGGCTGGAACCGGTAAATCTTCTTCATCTAATCCTCCGTATTTTAACGTTCAATTTTTATTAACAATCGTATGTTTTGTCAGATATGTACCTGAAGGTAATATGACCGCGTGCGGCACCGACTACTTCAGCAGGGATATAGTGTCCATGTCTTATCTCATCATGTACGGCATATGGGTATACTTCTTGCCGCTGTTCCTCATCATTTGGAGCTACTGGTTCATCATTCAGGCGGTCGCTGCTCACGAGAAAAATATGCGAGAACAAGCGAAGAAGATGAACGTCGCTTCCTTGCGATCGTCGGAAAATCAGAGCACCAGCGCCGAGTGTAAACTGGCAAAGGTAGAAAAATTCAATTTCTATTTGTAAGACAAGCTTTGCATAATTGGTATATTTTTCTTAGGTCGCCCTTATGACAATCTCCTTGTGGTTCATGGCCTGGACACCGTATTTGGTCATCAACTCCGCTGGAATATTCAATCTCATGAAGATCAGTCCGCTCTTCACCATCTGGGGTTCTCTGTTCGCCAAAGCCAATGCAGTTTACAATCCAATCGTTTACGGAATCAGGTATTCGCGATTCGACAGTGATTCTTATACATATGTCGTTCATATCGTATTTCGTTTTTTATGCAAGTTATTTAACCTTGATATTTAACCTTGTTTTAGTCATCCGAAGTATCGAGCTGCATTGTTCGAGAAATTCCCCTCGCTGGCGTGTTCCGGACCAGCGCAAGCCGCGGACGCAACATCGACGACCACCACCGTCGCGGACAGCGAAAAAGCGAACGCGTAAAACAGCTTGTCATGGCCTTCAAACTATGTGCACGCGTAATCATAATCAATCGGCAAATAAATGGAAACTAGATTAACGCATATTCGACTAGATGAGAATTTAATTGCAGACACGATTTGTAAATACTAGCATCAATTATCGTGTTCGGCGATCTTTTTTCTATCATTAAAATTGGTCGGAAATTGAAAATATAAAAATGTGTTCAGAAGATGTCGCCTGACAAGCAAATTCAATTCGACGAAGGAAATTTCAGTGCCTAATATACGGAATCGCTGGTTACGCGATATTAAATTAGCAAATATTCGAATCGCCTATGATTGAATGTATGATTCTCATTTCACCACAATGCGAGTCATTTAACATCAATTCATAGGTAGGATTTTGATTTTGTACATTTTATTGCGTAGCAATATACATGGTCACTTTGGTATAGCAGGTATGTACCAACAGCTCTATGTTTACTGGATTAGTAAGCATATCCTATTGCTGTAAATCATGAAGGGAGCGTCGTATCTGTACCTTAATTTTATAAAAGCAAATAAATTCTGCAGGTAACGATAACGATGCGTTTACTTTAATTATTGCCACTGTTCCTTAAATACAGTCATTAGTAGCGATTTATAAAAAGACAGATTGATTTACAAAAATCTTTTGAATCTGTAATTAAGATTTCCCTTCCGTTTCAGCAGCTTTTTCTCCTCCAGCCGCTTGCTCTTCGGTCGAACCGCAAACCAAAAACGGTAGCTTTTCTTTCAGTGCTGCTCTGTATTTTGGGTGACTGCAAATATTATTTAATTAATAACGTAGTCAATTTACTTACAAAGTACGCACCTGATTCCATAAACGATCGGGTTATATATCGCGTTTGCTTTAGCGAATAAAGAACCCCATATAGTAAACAAGGGTGTGATCAGGGAACGATTGAATATTCCAATATAGTTGATTACAAGGTACGGCGTCCATGCCATAAACCACAATGATATTGTTGTCAGTGCTACCTAATGCAAAAGTGGAATTGAAACTTCGTAGATAGATCACTACCTGTAATTTATACCTTTGCTAACTTTGCTTCTGCGCTGGCGCCTTGATTTTCCCCGGATCGCAAAGAGGCGACGTTCATTTTTTTGGCTTGATCTTTCATTGCTTTTTCGTGCGCGGCGACGGTCTTTTAAATATTGTCAAGTTATGCAATTGAATTATTTTAATTAAGATTAAAATTAAAATTAAATTTTGCATACTCACTGAGACAATGAAATAGTAACTATAAATAATAGTAAATAATGGAGTATAATAAACAAAAAGAGAATAAACCAGAATGTATGATTTGGATCCCCAGTCTTCAGTAAGATAATCTGTTCCACATGCTGTCATGTTACCTTCAGGAACATATCTAATTGATGCATATGTTAATCATTAAATTAGCCACTTGGCAAAAATTGTGGTATTTAAAATGTTACCTGTTCCATCCTACTAAAGGTAAAATTGTCCATAATAAACCAAACAGCCAAATACCTAAAATCTGGCATAAAGCTCTGTTGATTGTAAGAGGCGTTCCAGACATGCCCTAAAAATATTAGTTTCATTAGAAATACTCATATTTATATTTGGGTATACATACCTTCACTATAACATTGTATCTATCTAATGCGATAGCCGTCATTGTCCATATAGAAGCACATCCGCATAATGAGCCGACCATCGCATAAATGTCACACATTAACGTTCCTGAAAATGCTTATAATTAAAATACTGCACATCTTATTTTTTGATAATAAATAGATCTATTGTTTCTCACCAAGAACCCATGTTTCATAGAAGCAGCAAATCACCATAGGAGGACACATGAAGCCCATCATTATAAAATCTGAGAAGGCAAGATTTACTACAAGTAAATTGCTTGGTGTTCTTAAAGATGGTGTGAGTAAAAAAACATAAACTACTACACCGTTTCCAAACCATCCAATGATTCCTAACACGATCATAACTAGACCTAAGATTTTATGCCATAATGGATGCATTGGAGGGAACCGATACCTATACAATAAAATATAATAAAGATGAAATAAAGTTTGATAAGATCAATTAAAGTTTCACTGTTAGCAAGGAGTATAATTACCAGTATGTGTCAATTAAATGTAACATTTCTTCAGGTACTTTACTGACAACTGTTTGATTGTTAAAACGCATATACTGCCTTGCAAATGTTGGGCCCATGGTGGTTGTTAAAATAGAAAACTGTGAAGGATTAACTTCACCATGAGAAGTTGTATTGAAAGTGTTTATTGAAACCAATGTTTGCATTTTAAAATATATATTAAAAGGTAAGAAAAACACACTATTGCCCGTATAGATCGATACACATATAACTTAATATTATCACATTTGATAAAAAATAAGTGTACAAATTTGTAGCCTGAATTACATGACACATTCCTTTTTTGTACTCTGCTGTTTGTACTTTATAACTGTAGCTACAAGCATAGCATTCTCCTTTTATATGTTCTGTAAGGTAAGATCCAATAAAGTCATCCAATAATATATTCAAATGAATGTAACTAATACTTTCATAAGCATTAGTATGAAATGACATATGGAAAGTACTGTCAGCTGTAATTTAGACTAATCTAGTCAAAGTGAAACTTTACATATGCTTTTATATTCAAGTTTAGATGTATTTCTTGAGATTGTATATAATTTATTACATAAAACATAATTATACAATAGTATTATCATTTTATTACTCTTGAAAGTCTACGAATGTGTTGACTGCGGCCTTCTTGAAGAGCCTCTTCTAATTCCTGTGTTATATGTAATAAATTAATAGGGTCAGTTTGAAGTAATACATGTTCAATGCTCTCATCTTTGCCTGGATTTTTTACTGAGAAATCTAATGTAACAAGAGGAGCAACTTGTTTCAATAGTGATCTTGATGCAATCTATAAAAAATATATTCAATATAGATTTAATATTATAGATAAACTAAGATCACAATAAATAATAAAACAATATAAACCTGAACTTCAAATCTCCATTCCATATCATGGTATTCTGGTAACTTAAATCCAATATTTGTAAGTGTATCCAATATTTCATCCTTTTTAACACTGTACAACTTACTCAATATCACTTCTTGTTCCTCTGAAAAACCTAAAGATATTACAGAATCTCTAAAGTCTTCTGCACTTAACTGCAAAAATAAATGTTCACAAAATTAATTATTATTTTATGTACCTAGTAATACACATACAAATAAATACAATGTATAGTACCTTATATTTACAGCTCTCTAATAACAAATTAACAAGTCCTTCTACTGAATTCTTAATTACATTTGCCTCCACCTCAAGTTTCTCTGGAAAAAAGTAAAAGACATATCAAAGTGTTCCTTATTTTTATAAAACTCCTGGTATCAACAAATGTTACTTACGAGCAGCTGCATTATACAATTTAACATTTGGCCCTTTCTGCAAGTAATCAATGGCCAATTTGCAGAAATCCTGTAAAACTAAATAAAATAATTCAGGATTACTCTGTAAAATAATAAACTCATAAAGAAAATAAAGTGCACACACCTTGAGATGTATGTTCTACAAGTAGCAGTACATGTTTTTTATGATCTGGTTTTAATGTTAACAACATTTTTTCCTATAAAGAATACAAAAGTTAATTGTTTTTATTTCATATGAAAATAAAAAATTTGTCGATTCGAGGTACAATAGGTAATACACGACATTAATAATCGTGTATTGTTGATATCCCTCTCTACTTGTTCATTCCCCGCAAGTAAGCTGTCATTTGGGAATAACCTAACCTTATCTGACAAGTTTGACTTTACTACAAAAGATTGCAGAAAATGTGAAGAGGATCTTTGCTGCTCAATATAGATGTCACTAGTAGTACTGTTTCAGAGACAGCAATAAACAAAATTTCTAAATTTTGGGATTCTTTTTTGGAAATAAACATTGTTGGAATTCCAAGAATGTAAATTTATATTTGGGTTCAAGAATTACAGTTTTTTTATAAACATGATCTTATAATTAGTATTATCATTTACATAGTATCACTTTTAATCTACAATTTACAATAGCCAAATTAAATAAAATGATAAAATCTTGAAGCGAACTTTATTAATAAACGTAATAAAACATCAGAATAAAAGGATGTTTAAGATTACATAATTTTTATTACAAAACATTTGTTATTAATATAACAAAGTGCCATCATCATAGTCCTTTTATATTTCACTTATAGAATTATGCCTTTGGTTGCGAAAGCGATGCTTTTATTTGAACTTGTTGGAACATTTGTTGATATTTCTCTAATGTTTCACGATGCGTATCTTGTTTCTTATCTAATGTAGTTATTAATTCTTCTACTCGTTTCCTAAATTTATAGAATTCATAAAAATTATTAGATTTCTTGTACACATTGCATATATATCAGACAACTTACAATTCTGAGGAGATGTATTCCATACGCTTAGCAACATTTTGCTTTGCATCTTTCAAGTCCTGCTTAATAAGAACTGGTCCTATTAGCTTAAAAACATCATTGTCTGGTTTCAAAAGATCCAATTCTTTCTTAACAGCAATATTCTCATTTAACTGTCCATCCAACTGCTGTCTTTGACTCAATGCTTTGTGGTAATCTGATACAAACAGAATCTACATGTAACACGACACTAAATTAATTATAATCACAATATATTTCCAAGAATATACTTTGAACACAGAAGTATATAAGTACCTTTTTGGGCTTGTTTATATTTGTCTATTTCTGTTTTTAGATTCTTTTGAATTTCCTCTGTCATGTTTGTCTAAAAAAGGTAATTCTCAATGAAGACTAAATTATGTGATAGTTAGGTTATACTATGTATAATATAATTATTCGATTACATGCCAGAAACTAAATAAATGTTATTTTATTTATTGGATAAATAAACGTAATCTATTAAAATAAAGAACACATTCTATTCTAATATATTTAATATGATCATACCATGTTTAAAAAATATCTTTTGGTAACCTTTTGCTACAAATGTCGTAGGAACCACCTACTATTGAAAAACGAAAAACACGAAATCTCGTGGACACGTATTTTCTTTAATTAAATTTATACGTATTTCGTTAACCTGATTTGTTCTAAACTCTTTCAAACATTAACACAATACCGACATAGATACTGACGTATCGCGTTCCATTAGTCTATATATGTATATGTCATGTATGCATGAGTGTGTAGCATTTAATAAGTACCGATATATCAAAGAATTACTAATTCTACGATTAAAATAAGATTAATCTTAGAATTAAGTAATACATTCTTAAATAAGATCGTACAAAGAATTTGTAAAGATATATTAATAATGTTCATATACAACGTATCCTTAGTATCGATATATTGCGAGTTATCGATCTCTCGAAACTTAATGCTACAATTTCAAATTTCAAATTTTAAAATATCGAGTTCAAACGTAAAAGTTGTAGACATCATTGACCTACAAACTTTTTCGTGGAATTAGTTTTATCATAGGTATCAATTAGACTGCTTTACAAATGGACATCTATCTAATTAGAATTAAATATGAGCACAGATATATAAACGCATACATGGATCATTAAAAACACATCATATTGGTGTTTCGATCGTCAGCAACAAGCAACATACAGTTTGGGAAAATGGTTATTCAAAGTGTTTGGACAAAACTTATAATTGCAATATTACTTTTTTTAATAAACACGTATTTTTGCGATACAGGTAACGATTGACTTAAATTCAAAATTAAATTAAATTTAAAATCTTAAACCTAAATTTCAGATTCAAATTCGAAAATTCATGAAAATAATATTATTACCGACATAATTCCATCGTGCGTTTTCGGAGTGGAATCGGTATCATATTATTTGTACACAAGGTAAATTTATTATGCACAAAATAATATAGTCAAATTTTGAATATAATTGAATTACTTTTTTCTGTGTCAATCCATGTCATAGAGAAAAACCATATGGAGAAGAAGTTCGTTTACAAGATGAATATATCCCATTACGTGCTAACAAAAAGGTGGTGTTCCTTATACACGGTTTTATTTCTGAAGCTAACAATTCGAATTATTTTGAATTAGTCGGCGTTTGGTTAAAGAAGGTAATTCCATAAAAAAAAACGTTCAAAATAACTTTTTCTAATTACCCAAATTCTTTAGGAAGACATCAATATTTTTTCATTAGATTGGTCAAACGCTGCCTGTAGCGATGGATTCAGTCTGTCCGACTTGCTCGCTTATAATAGTGCTGTTAACAATATTCACGTTGTCAGCGAACATCTGACTAAGTATTTCCGTTTATATTCACATGTTATATACCTTAAAATAAATTCAGAATAATTATAATTTCCAGTATGGAATAATAACAATAATTTTATTTAATTTAACAATAATTTTCAGTTTTACTATTAAATTGGTTAACGAATACGGAATGAATGTCAGACAAACCTTAATCGTGGGTCACAGTCTCGGTGCACACGTAGCAGGAATCGCGGGAAAAGCTGTTCAAGAAATATTATATCAAAAATACCAACAGATTATCGGTCTTGATCCTGCGGGACCAAATTTCAAAAACAAGGATTGCACCGAAAGACTTTGTAAATCGGATGCCGCGTTCGTTCAAGTGTTTCATACTTCGTCTTTGGTCGGATTTTATGACGCAATCGGCGACTACGATTTTTATTTCAACGGTGGCGATAAACAACCGGGATGTATGTTGATAAAAATTTATTTCTTGGAGAGTAGAAATTACACCCCTCTTTTACAGGTATATTGCCCGTGTGTTCTCATACCAGAGCCGTGATATATTTTACAATGAGTTTGTTGCATTCGCCATGTTTTATAGCAACTCCTTGGAAAATTGGCTTCGAGTAAGTTGCATGATTTAACACCTTTATTCGCTGTGCAATCACATATGTTTCTTCTTGCAGGAACATTTTAAGCTTAACACATTGTAATTTAAATATTTGTATATATCCGGGATTAGACGTATCTGGACAAACTATTGGAGGAACATATTATGTGAACACAACAAGTACTGAGCCATATTGTACTTTGTTAACCTAAATTATTTTGGTATTATATTTTAAATAAATTTGTATATTTGAATATTTTGTATACATAACTTGAAGGCATTCTTATGTCATTTCCTATATTACCGACGAGATACGGTCAAAATACATTGGAAAGCGATACTAATTAGCTTTCGAATGTTATGCAAGTGTTAATATGCAATTAATTTGATATATATTATCGCAAATTATGCCAATTTTACGAACCGGTTTGTAAATGGCACAAGTGGCGCCATCTCTCCGGCGAATAGGGTGAACTACACGCATCTGAAACACTACTTTCGTTAGTTCTCACCTTCCGCCACCAGACAGCGCTACAAAAGTGTATCCGTGGCGCCAACTGGTGGTAGAAGGTGGGAACTAACGAAGCCGCTGTTTCAGATACGTGTAGTTCACCCTGTTCGCCGGAGAGATGGCGCTACTTGTCCATTAAAAAAAAGAGATTTAATTAATATTAATTTTATTGATTAATATGCTATAATACTTATTAGATGTTTATTAATATTGATTTTGTTTTATTTCCAATATCTTCCATGTGTCCGAAAATGCATATTATGTGTTCAGAACAGTCCGCACTACTGTGCGAACATCGACACCTCGTCGATGTGAAGTAGGCATAACGGGCGCCAGTATGACTACGTTTCCATCGAGGGTCCAAATCGGGTCAGAGTCGGGTTAGAGTCGGGTTGGGGTCAGCGCTTGTACGGTGGAAACGCCAAAGGTTTAGTTGAACTCTACCCTACAAAATTTTAGGGTAGCGTTCAGTTGAGGTTCGGTGGAAACGACAAGAGTCGAGTTCGTGTTGCCAACATAACAAATCCAAATTGCATTGTGTATCACGTGCTGTATTAATCGGTGTAGAAGAGGTTACTATTACTTTTTGTCGGTGATCTTGTAATCTGAGAAATAATTTTTGTATGTTATTTTGATATTGTAAAATTAATATTGCTCATACCAACCATATCTAATTGTAATTGTTTCTCGTTAAATACATTACTGTCAACGAGTCCTTCGAATTCTACATATACAAGAACCTCTTCTTCATCTTCGGACACTTTACCACTGGATTCCATTTCAAATTTATAAATAATTACCGCGCTCTTTTATTAATTTTTACTCTTAAACATTATACAGCAGAGATTCATCTTGCAATTCCATTAGATTTCTTCAAGAGGATACTAACTTTTCTCAAAAATTGCCTTGACTTGCCAACGCGTTATTTCCCTACATGACCCGCGCTTTCCTTTTGCACACGCGAATTTATTTGAACAAAAATTCCACATTTCTACTTGGTTTAGCGGTAGATCGGTAATCGAAAGAAATCATCGATGAACGGGATGTTGCATGATTCGTGATCAAACTTGAGAAAAACTTAGAAGGAGAATCTAAGACTACGTTTCCATCGAGGGTCCAAATCGGGTCAGAGTCGGGTTAGAGTCGGGTTGGGGTCAGCGCTTGTACGGTGGAAACGCCAAAGGTTTAGTTGAACTCTACCCTACAAAATTTTAGGGTAGCGTTCAGTTGAGGTTCGGTGGAAACGACAAGAGTCGAGTTCGTGTTGCCAACATAACAAATCCAAATTGCATTGTGTATCACGTGCTGTATTAATCGGTGTAGAAGAGGTTACTATTACTTTTTGTCGGTGATCTTGTAATCTGACAAATAATTTTTGTATGTTATTTTGATATTCTAAAATTAATATTGCTCAGCTTTACATGTCAGAATATGGTAGTTGACTTTGTGCAGTTGGTAATGTTCAACCCTGCCGCAACTCCAACCCGCGACTCAAACCCGACTCTAACCCGACTCTCACCCGATTTGAACCCTCGATGGAAACGTACTCTAAGTGACATGTGTTACACATGTTATGACGTGCGTGGGGACCCTGTGCCTGACCGCCATTTTCCCTAGGAAAATTGCTGTCGAATATAGAGTTGACAAACAATTTGTGAATATTGTTTTCATAAAAGTTTAGAAAAATGGAAACGATATTGGAGCAGCAACGACGTTACCATGAAGAAAGAGAAAGGTTGATGGATGCAATGGTCAAAGAGATGCTGTACAAAAAGCCAGGTCATAGAGAAAATATAAATTCGGAGCATAGGTTGAAAATGTTACTTGATCAGTATATGGACAGTACTTTACATTTACAGGATTTGTATGAAGATAAAGATGGACAAAGAAAGGAAGAAGTAAGTTTACAACTTTGTATTTTATTTACTATTTTATAGTATATTTGTAATACATGAAAACTATTTTGTTTAGGTGCAAGCACTTTCAGGACCAAATGAATTTTCTGAGTTTTATTCTCGATTGAAGTCTATAAAAGAATTTTACCGGCGTCATCCTAATGAAATAAGTATTCCGATGTCTGTGGAATTTGAAGAATTAGCTAAAATGAGAGAAAATCCTACGGAGGAACTTTCAAACCTTGTTGAATTCACTGATGAAGAGGGTTATGGAAAATATCTTGATCTTCATGAATGTTATGAGAAATACATTAATCTTAAGGGAATAGAGAAAATAGATTATATCACATATCTATCAACTTTTGATCATTTATTTGATATTCCAAGGGAAAGGAAAAATGCTGAATATCAGAAATATGTAGAGTCCTTATTAGAATACTTGACAGATTATTTGAGTAGAGTTAGACCACTACTTGATATAAATGGAGAACTGGAGGAAGCAAATAAAGAATTTGAAACACAATGGGAAAATAGTACATTTCCAGGATGGCCAAAGGAGACTGGCAGTGCATTAACACATGTGGGAGCTCATTTAGAGCTTTCTGCTTTTTCTTCTTGGGAAGAACTTGCATCCCTCGGTTTGGACAGGTTAAAATCAGCTTTGATGGCTTTAGGTTTAAAGTGTGGTGGCACACTGGAGGAAAGAGCACAAAGACTTTTTAGTACAAAAGGAGAGGCATCATTGGATCCAAATTTGTTAGCCAAGAATAATAGGAATAGAAAATCTGGAAAAGGCAGAAATTCTGAGAAGCAGAAGGAAATAGCTCGTTTAGAAGCTCAAGTATACAGACTTGCAGAATTGGTATCTTCTCAGAGGGTAGCTACAAAAGAAAATGTTCAAAGAAAACAAGCTAGAACAGAAGGTGAAAGAGGAGATTCTGATGCAGAAGCCAGTGCTAGTGAATCAGAAGAAGAGGATGATAATGAAGTCCCTTACAATCCTAAAAATCTTCCTCTTGGTTGGGATGGAAAACCAATTCCATATTGGCTATATAAGCTGCATGGTCTAAATATTAGTTACAACTGTGAAATTTGTGGAAATTTCACGTATAAAGGACCAAAAGCATTCCAAAGGCATTTTGCTGAATGGAGACATGCACATGGTATGCGTTGTCTTGGTATTCCAAATACTGCCCACTTTGCTAATGTGACACAAATAGAAGATGCTTTAGCTCTGTGGGAAAAATTGAAAGCTCAGAAACAAGCAGAACGTTGGCAACCAGAACAAGAAGAAGAATTTGAGGATTCTCTGGGGAATGTCGTTAATCGTAAAACGTATGAAGATTTAAAGAGACAAGGTCTTTTATAAAATGCTGTAACATTGAATAATTATTCATGTAATTAATTACTAGGTACCTTTTGTAATCTACGAAATATTATCTGTATTAAAATAAAAATAGCGAATAAAAATGTGTGCAGAAGCAGTTAATAATTTGTATAGCTAGTACTCCTAATATATTTTCGTCTTTTATATATTTTTTGTACACTATGTATATGACCACGAAGTAAGAAACAAGCGGTAGAGGGACATTACTTGATGCCTTCTGATAGAATAAAATAGAACTAAACGTCTGGGGATTAGGGATTTTTCTGGATAGCTAATGTTATTCGACCAATGAGAAATCAGAAATTTTATAACTAGAATTTGCAGAGTGTGTAGTTCATCTTTCAGAGATGTATCCCTATCGTATTATCTCGTAAAAGCAACTTTTGCGATTTCGGGAAAGAAGTACTCGGACTTATAATCGCGTTTTTACTATGATTACATTAATAACTCAATTAATGTAAACGTAGTTCAACAACAAACTTATAAATCGTGCGAACATACGCTTCTAAATGTAATTCGTCATTATCTTACGTTCGGTACTATCAAAAGCACGATGTTTCGTCGATGCGATTAAAACCACGTGCTTTGAGAGGCCGATCGTTTTTATGAAAAATGGCTCAACTGTAAGATTTTGTACTTAAATAAAATTTTTATTAATTCTATTAAATTTTTTAACAAATTTTCTTATTATAGAAGGAGCAATTGAGCTAAATAATTGGTAGTTCAGAGAACATCGATCACGGAACAAAGATCTTTTCTATCATCGCAGAAAAAGGTATGCTGAGGGAAAATGACGGAATTTGTAGATGGCTGGATATTTGGACACACTTTGGGAGAAGGTGCTTATGGCGAGTACGTTTGAACATATTTCATTTCTATGATCAATTTATAATAATGACTACAAATATTAAAAATTTTTAAATTACTTATAAAATATTGTTTTTTAATAACGTTTTTTAAAATTTTTTAAATGTACATTTCATTGAATTAGTTTCACTATATTTATACATATGTACCTTTCAATATAGCTTTGGTTCATTTGTGATTTTTAAAATTTTACTCTTTATTTTCAGAGTAAAACTAGTTATAAATAAATCTACGGGCGAAGCTGTTGCTATGAAAATGATAGATTTATTAAAGCATCCAGATGCCCGACAAACAGTTAAAAAAGAAACTGTTATTCACCGTATGCTCTCTAATCCCAATATTATTCAGTATTTTGGAAAACGTAGTGAACCCAATATGGAATATATTTTTTTAGAATACGCTTCGGGGGGAGAACTTTTTGATAGAATAGGTAAGACATAATGTTCATTTTAAAAAATGAAGTTTAAAAATGACCATTATTTTCATTAATCAAAAAAATCTGTTTCATTTAAAATAGAACCAGATATTGGTATGCCAGCATGGGAAGCACAAAAGTATTTTAAACAATTAATATCTGCAGTAGAATATCTTCACAGTAAAGGCATTGCACACAGGGATTTAAAACCAGAAAACTTACTGTTAGATGAAAATGATAATTTGAAAGTCTCTGACTTTGGTTTGGCAACAATATATCGTTTGCAAGGCAAAGAACGATATTTGGAAAAAAGATGTGGAACATTACCTTATGTTGCTCCCGAAGTGCTGTTACATCCTTATCATGCTGAACCTGCTGACATATGGTCTTGTGGTATAATTCTTGTGGCTTTGCTAGCTGGAGGTAAACTGATCTTCATAAAAAGATATGCACATATTATTAAAAGATAATTTATTTTATATGTAATTGCTTTTGGGTATAAGGCATTTTGTTTTAGAATATCGCAATAATGTAACTGCCTTCAATGGAGGACTGATACTTAATATCAGTGTATCTCAGATTCTTAATGAAGTCAACTATATCATTAAATTCATACTTATTACATTCATAAAGCCTTGAACTGGAATCAATTTTGAATATTTGGTCGTGAAAATCATAAAGCAAGTTTATAATATTATTTAACTTTTGAAATTAGTAGAAATTAGTATAATGATAACTGTATTTGTAAGATACAGACCACTGTGATCTTTAGTCTGATGGTTTAGGTCTAATGCATAACTTACATTTCTTAGTTTTTAACTGGTCCATATCTGAACTATAGAACTGCCTTGGGATCAGTCCTTGGCAGAGTGTCCAGAATATATGGCATGGAGAGATGGAAAATACATGTCTCTTACACCATGGAAAAAGTTGGATAATTCTTCATTGTCTCTGATTAAAAATATTCTTATACACTCACCATCAGCCAGATGTACCATAAAGGATATTAAAAAACATAGATGGTTCGTCAAAAAATTCCAAAGAGGTATGTATTATTTTATGCACGTGGAAAGTTTCGGTATTTTTTTTTAGTGTAACAGCAGTTTAACAAAATTCCAGTGGATAAAATAAAGTATTTACTTAGTCAGGTACTGAGTGACTCTGAGTACGTATATTAAATTACTCAAAGCAGCTTGGTATCTAACTGAGTGGATATTGCAAACAACAAGCTTTTAAGGTACAAGTTTATAGTATATATAATTCTTGTTTTAGATTATTATGTATGTAATTGAAAAATTAAAAGCTATAGTTTTTTCACATTGTCAAAGCTTTTGCCTTTACTTTGGTAATACAGCTCTATGATTTTAATTAAGGATCATAAAGCTAGATTACCAAAGAAAAGAGCACTGGCATATGCAGCTGAAGTATCATAAGTTTTAATTGACATGAAAATCATTTAATTATAAATGTAAAATATGTTTGAGAATTTTTAATAAAATTGAACAAATTTTTTCATAGCTGGAACTATAGAAGGATATATTCGACCTGATGAAACTAATTCAAGACAAGTATTAGAGGATGAAAACCTAACCAGGTTTTGTTTATCACAACCTGAATTACCTACAACGGAAAATGCTAATGCTGTACAAATTAACTTGGAAGAACGACCAGGATTTTCATTCTCACAACCTGCCCATATTGAGGATTTGTTATTGTGCACCCAAGTACAAACTAAATTTACACAAGCAAGCCAAGTTAGTGAAAATTTATATGCAATTAGTATCATATTCGTATTTTATCATACTGTTGTCACAAAATATAATTTTATATTTGCAGCAAAATACGTTCCAACGGCTAGTGCGACGTATGACAAGATTTTTCGTTAAAACGGAGTTAGACGAAACCATAAACAGATTAGTAAATTGCTTGAAGAATGAAAGTTACAATTGCCGTATTAACAATGTTGGCACAGTAAGTTGCAAAATAATAATTAGAAATGGCATGTTCTGATAATATTAATTTACACAAATACTCAATAAACTGCAATTACTTTTATAGATCACTGTATCAACTATGGACAGAAGAAAAATGCCTTTGGTTTTCAAAGCAAATATTGTTGAAATGGATGGAAAGATACTAGTTGATTTCCGATTGTCTAAAGGCTGTGGTCTAGAATTTAAACGAAGATTTGTAAAAATTAAATCATTGTTAGAAGATATTATATTAAAAGGTCCTGTGACCTGGCCAATTGCTGTTGCAACAGAATGTATGCCCTAATAATCATGTACACAATGAAGTTTTGAATAAATTTTTTTATATTCTTTTAAAAAAAGTAATCTTTATGCTTTATTTTTTATACATAATTGTTCATAAAATGTTATTGATGTTAGTGAAAATGGCGATTGCAATGTAACGTCAAAGTTTCGTTGATAATAAAGTTATTTTACTAGTATGTATATCCACGATCTTATTGCTTTCTACATACCGTGTCTGTTACAATAACAGATATTCGTTGCATTCTTCTGTCAGATATGCGACGAAATTCTTACAATGATCATACCCTAACCTCAACTTTCAATTGCTATCAAAATGCTGATATTTACAAAGTTTATCGCATTTACAGTTACTAGTTTAATGGTATTTCTGTTTTCTAATTACCTTAGTTTCACATATTTCTTCGACAGTTATACGCATTGGTTTTATAACAAAATAAATGATTTTGAAATATATGATTATATCATTGGTAAGTCAAACATAAACTTTTATATTTTTTAATATATAATATATATTGTTACATTAGAAAAAAATTAATTAAAACTAAAAATATAATTTTTTATTTAGTTGGAGCTGGCAGTGCAGGTGCAACTTTGTCTGCAAGACTAGCAGAGAATGGGTACAAAGTCTTATTGCTTGAAGCTGGAGGAGCTGCACCACCATTCATAGATATTCCTTTATTAGCTCCTCTAATTCAGAATACTCCATATGACTGGAATTACATGACCGTACCTCAAGATAATGCTTGCAAAAGCTTAATGCATAATGTATTATTATTCTGTTACCTATAATAATACTTAAGGAGATGTTTTATTGAGAACTTGTTTTTAGAGAAGTAAATGGCCAATGGGTAAACTTCTTGGTGGGACTAGTCAATTAAATTATATGCTTTATGTACGAGGTCATCCTTTAGATTATAATGAGTGGTTTCCAGATTTTATTGGTAATATTCAGAATTTGTTGTTGTCTTTTGCTCTCATTGATAAGCTGGAAATATTTGCAGAACCAACTACAGAAAATGGTGGGCCAATGCATATAAGTGACTTACAATGGCATACTGATGTTGCTAATGCGATTTTAGAAGGATTAAAAGAATTGCATCAAGATATTGGCAATATTAATCATGATTTAAAAAATGGTAATTATATTACATATAACAAAATATTGTAACTGAATGGGGTTATTGATTTAGGTTTCATGAAAGCACAAATATTCTCAAAAAATGGGAAAAGATGGAGTACAGATAAATTGTTATATAAAGATTTTAAAGATAAATTGTTTATTAGAACTCATGCTTATGTTGAAAAGGTATATTAAAAATTAGATCTATAAATTACTATTTAGATTAATTCTATTGTACTAATCACTATTTCTTTGAAGGTGTTAATGGAATCAAATAGAGCAGTTGGAGTACAATATACTACATTAAATAAGACATTTAAAGCAATTGCAAACCATGGTGTTATTCTTAGTGCTGGTGCAATTGGTACTCCCAAAATATTAATGTTATCTGGTATTGGACCAAAAGATCATTTAAAAGATTTGAAAGTACAATCAGTTTTTCTAACATTGACTTTAAAAATATACAACTTATATGTTGAATGTGATAATTTACACATTTCAGATAAATGTAATTAAGGATTTACCAGTTGGTCAGAATTTAGTAGATCATATACTTACTGGCATTGATTTAGTTATGCTTAATGAAAGCATAAGTTTTAGTATGTTTAATGCTTTCAATCCTGTATCAGCAATAAATTATTTTTTATTTGGAAAAGGTAAGTTTTCTTTTAATTATTACAATATGTACTTCATTTATACAAACAACATTTGCATACTCTGTTAAAATAACCATATTTTATATAATTTAGGTCCTTGGACATTTACAGGAGTTGAAGTTTTAGGAACATTTCATAGTTCTCTTAAAAAAAGTAAATCAAGTGTACCAGATTTACAGATAATGGTGATGCCAATTGGATTATCAAAGGATAATGGTATTGTTTTAAGGAAATCCATGGGAATTTCTGATAAGGTATATCCAAATAAATCATCAATAATATAAATTTTACAAAATACCTATTAATATATTTAAATACTAACTTCATATGAACTATTTTATAGACTTATGATGAATATTTTGCACCTATTTCATACAAGAATATGATAACAATTGCTCCCGTTTTATTACACCCAAAAAGTAAAGGAGAAATTAAATTAAGTAGCAGCAATCCTTTGGATCCGCCTTTAATTGATCCAAAATATTTGTCAAACAAAGACGACATTAAAGTTCTTACAGCTGGTAATGTTATGGAAATTTATACAATTACATAAACTATAATTTATTTATGACACACATTAAACTTTATAGGGCTGCAATTTGTGAAAAAACTTGTTGGAACAAATGCTATGAAAAATATTGGTGCATCTATTTATGATAAACATTTTCCTGGTTGTGAAAATCAGACATTTGATAGTACAAAATATTGGGAATGTTACATACAACATTTAACTTTAACTTCGTATCATCCTGCTGGAACATGTCGTATGGGTGATGTTGTTGATCAAACATATAGGTAATTAAACAGTTTTAAACGTAAAATAGTTGTGTTTGCTCTAGAAATACTACATAAACTTTTTCTTGTAGAGTTTATGGTACAAAAAATTTGTATGTAGTCGATGCATCTATACTTCCAGTTTTACCAAGTGGTAATATTAATGCTGCAATTATAATGCTTGCCGAAAAAGCCGCGCGTATAATTACAGAAAACACAAAAATTGATATAGACAAGAAATGTTATAAGCCACATAACTATTACTACATAATTAATAATTAACAAATTTGCCTTATTAGACATTCATTTTTAAGTAAATTAAATTTAATTTACTATCATGTCTGTACACGAATTATAAAAAGATTTATACTATCATTATTACATTATAATTTTTCTCATAGATTAATTACAAATTTATCAAGAAATTATACAATTTATACAATTATTAAGAAATTATACAGAATTTTATCAATATTATTTTTTACATAAATCTTTCAGAATTAAAATAATTGAATGGCATAAATGCACATTAATTTAATGAACTGATTATATATGTGTTGCAATAAACAACAAAGTAAATATTGATAATAATAAAAGTTATTATTGTTATGCCTCTTATTTATATTATGCTTGAAAAGATATTAACGATAATTACGTCTATTATTTTTATAATCACGTCTAGAATAGTCATTTGATCTGTGATTATCCTGATTCTTTTTAGACCTATGATTTGTATAGTGATTATCATTTTGTGTTTGTTTTCTATAATAAGGATGTACTCGCCGCGACTTTCTATCATCTTTATAATTATCTATCTTTTTTGTATGTGAAACTGTGCCTGGCAACATGTTCATTCTAAATGTGCTTAATGGTAATTGTAATATGTTATTTCCTAACAACATTTGTTGACCTAGCTCAAGCAAATGATTAATACTCATAGAATCTTGTGTATTTGTAATTTGTGGCGATTCTGTGTTTTTCTTGGTGCTCATACTAAGAGGACGATTGAATAGTATAGTACCATCAAACAGACTTAAAGCATATTTTACAGAATTAATATGTTTATAAGTTATAAATCCATAAGTTCTTTGCCTGCCATCGCGATCTTTAGGAATAATAACTCTTTGTACGGGACCACCCTATAACATTATAGAAAATATTTTTGTAAAAAAAGACATTAAACTTCAAAATAGACTTTTCAAGAATCACACGTATACCCATTATTTACAAGTTAAAAAAATATCTAATCATATGAACTCCAAAACAACAACAAGTATGACTCAAAACTTTGTAACCTTAACTGCACAACAGTTCATATAAAATTACATGAGTCTAATATATCGCTCAATATAAATACATACACATGTACCGATTCATTTAGAAATCATTATTTATTGTTAAAGACAACAACTTAATGGAATTACTAAAAAATATCTAACGAGATATTTTTGTTTACGTATGCACATAATGTACGAACCTGTAAAAATAATTCATATAGAATTTCTTCTGTTACTTTCTCACTTAAATTTCCACACCAAACAGTACGAATATCTTCATCCATAATAATGGAATATAATGGAAATACTTTATATTTACAAAATTAATTTTAATCAAAATCGAACTGTATATACGTGACGCAAAATGCGACGATCACATTCCGATTGTAATCCTTATAATTGACACTAGGGAGCATGAAAGTACAAATGCAGTGTATGTACAAGGCGACTCAAATGAATTTTATTATTTATGGTTGTATTTCAAAGAAGGAAATTAGGCGGTTCATATGTATGTATTTATATTATCAGTAACAATATTTTACAAAACAAAATATTCTTTTAAACTAAATGTTATATTTTTGATCGAAATTTATTTTACAAAATAAGTATTTAAAAAAATATGATTAAAATGTAATAGCAAATGATTTATTATTTTAGGTGACCGCATTTGAAGGAAGTCAATTATATTTATTATACAAAACAATAGTAGTAAAAAAGTGAAATATTAAACTAAAATTTATAATGTCCTCAAAGTTAAGTCAGTGTTCTGTACTTGAGATAGAAGAAATTCTTGATAGGAACTCAGATTCAGATACAGAAAAGCCTATAAATGCAGTAAACAAATTACAGAAGAAAAGTGTTAGAATACAAAATACACAAAAAAATGTATTAAATGTAAGTTCATATATAAAAAATGCAAGTAATTTTGGTAAATATTTATCGAAATATGATGTTTTGTAGGGTGAAGCTACATCTTTGAAACTTAAATTAAGAAGATCTACAGAACAAAGTTTATATAAAATTCAAAGAAATTCTGAAGTTAAAGAGTCCCATCATGGGAAACAAAACGAGACTGAAGTATCCAGAGGTAGCAGAAATAGAAGACCCCCAGTGAGATTTTCCGCTTATCATTGTGATACATTACATGCAGAAAACTCTTCTCCTTCCTTGAGAAATAGAAAGAGTATTAATTATAATGAGGATAAGTTACTTATTAAATCTATTGTATCAACTATGGAAACAGAACAGAAAGTAACAAGATCAAAGGAAAATAAAAAGTCGGATGCTGCTTTTGATAGTCATAATACAGAATGTAAACCATTGAATTCAAATGTTAGAAACAAACGACATCATATTCCTTCTACAAAAGATTCCGAGGATGACAGCGATACAAATATTAAAATTATAAAAGTAAAATTAGTAACAAAACCTAGTAAATCTGAATATAATCTGAAAAGTATATTAGATTATTCTCCAGAAAGAAAGAGTATGACAAAGAAATCAAATTTATTAACACCAGTACGAAAAACTGCCACTCCTAGTAAAGCAGATAAACATAAAAGAACAATTTCTAATAGTGAACAGAAAGACATTCAGAATACTAACAATGTCAATGAAGAAGATTTATCTGATATGTACAAATGTATTACAATTTCATCAACAGATAATACTCCAACTACTACACGTAAACAGAGGAAAGTAGTTTCTAACACAGTACAAAAAAATGTCGAATTTACGAATAAAAGTGACATAGAAGAAGAATACTCAACTGACTTGCATAAACGTAAGAAAGTTTCATCGGTAAAAAGGAATATTCTAACACCACAAAATCGAAATAACATAGAAAAAAGTATAGAATCACGTTTAGAAGAAACGCACTTGAGTACTCCGAAATCACGTCCAATAAAATGTAGTAATTTAACACCATCGATGCGAAAAAGAAATAGCGTTTTAATGAAACCAGCTACTCCATTGCAAGAAGCTAAGTCTAGGTTGCACGTTTGTGCTGTACCAAAGTCTTTGCCTTGCAGAGAAGAAGAGTTCAACAATATTTTCACATTTCTTAGAGGAAAATTAGAAGATAAAAGTGGCGGGTATGTTGAAAAAAGATCTACACATTCTTTAAACACTCTTAACAAACTGAAAACATTTACAGGTGCATATATATAAGCGGTGTCCCAGGGACTGGTAAAACTGCGACTGTAAATGAAGCTGTGAGGTGCTTAAAAAAGTTGATAAGTAAAGGCCAGTTAGATGATTTTGATTATGTCGAAATTAATGGTATGAAACTGACAGAGCCAAGACAAGCTTATGTACAAATCTTAAAACAATTGAACGGTAATATAGTCACTTGGGAGCAAGCATATCATGTACTTGAAAAAAGGTTTCATAGGACAAATTCAAAGATGACATTACTCCTTGTAGATGAAGTACGACTTTCATTCATAAGATAAAACTTTTGCATATAATCTTCTTACATATTACTAATACTGTTGTATTATAATAGCTCGATTTTTTGTGTACAAAACGTCAAGATGTTGTATACAATTTGTTAGATTGGCCAACAAAGGCAACAGCACAATTAGTTGTTATTACGATAGCTAACACTATGGATTTACCCGAGAGAGTTTTAATGGGTCGTGTCACATCTCGCCTAGGCTTAACTCGATTAACTTTTCAACCATACAATTACAAACAGTTACAAGAAATAGTAATGTCCAGACTTAAAGGCTTCAACGGCTTTCGGAATGAAGCTGTACAACTCGTTGCACGGTACGAGAATTATACTTTAGTTTTTTTATCAAATTTTAATTCATGAAGTGTTTACATAAACAAATGATATATTTCAGAAAAGTTTCTGCTGTATCTGGAGATGCCAGACGAGCTCTAGACATTTGTCGTCGTGCTATGGAAATTGCAGAAGCACGACATGCCGAAAATATTTCCCTCCAAGATGTAACTGAGGCTGTGTCCGAAATGATCGCCTCGGCAAAAGTACAGGCTATAAAACATTGTTCGAAAATGGAACAAATATTTTTGCAGGCAGTGTCTGCCGAAGTTACGCGGACCTCTGTCGAAGAAGTATATTTTAAAGATGCATATCGTCAGCTTGAAGCGCTATGCTCCTTTGATGGTTCGTTTATTCGTTAAATTGTTAAAAAATATAATTGCATTTTGATTGCATTTATTAATTTGCGTTGCAGGTATAGAGGTACCTACCGTGACAGAAATTCTTGCCGTCTGTGCAAGATTGGGTGCTAGCCGGTTATTAATATGCGAACACTCAAGAAACGATATATATCAAAAAATTTTATTGAACGTTTCCATAGACGATATTCACTACGCTATACACGAGCTCAATTTACATTCAGAATAAGAAACATAATTTTTTTGAAGCAAATGTATTTTTATGCGTGACTGATGTGTTCTAAACAGTGCCTTAAATATATTAGATAATTTTATCGATGATCTATTTTCTACTCGATTGTAATTTTTATTAACGAATTTTGTAACATAGAGTATCTACAGTTCGATTAAATTTTATAATAAAACAAGATATTTTTTAAAATTGTTACTGTTGCACGGAGAACACTTTTCGTATAACGATAATGTTTATTAATAGTAATCGACATAATTATCAATATATATTGGTGAATTATGTAACTCGATGAAATTTTATATTCTATTATTAAGCAATGTGCAAGTACATCTTGAAGCTGAATTCCGTCGAACCGAATTCAGTTTTGAAGTTATGATTAACGAAGATGTCGAGGAAGAAGTTCTTGCGCTTTACAAAAATGAAAGGTGGGAGGATATCGTTAACTTAGATTGTACCTTAAGCGAATTAGATAAGAACAAATTATTTTGGGTGTTACCCACTATCAACGATTTGCAATGGATGAAAGATATAATTGATAAATACAATATAGTTGGATTAGCAAGCATAGGATGTGGATGTGGATTGTTCGAGTGGTTGTTTCAAAAATATTCTGGTAAGTTTATGTCTATGTACGTACATAATTATGTAATATTGCCATTTATAAGTTTTGTTGGACTGCTTGTTTAAGGTTTGAACGTAATCGGTATAGAGTTGGATCACTCGTGGTGGCGCAGTAAATATTCTCCACCTTTATTTTTAGAGAATATGATTTTCGTTCGTGGAAACAGTACGAAAATTTATCTACCAGAAAATTACGCTCTTCTTTTTTGTTATTTTAACAACGGACCAGCGTTTTGTAATTATATCGAGAATTATAAAGGAAATCTTCTTTTTATCGTTGGACCCAAAGATGGTCAAAATCGTTCGACGGATCCAATGCCTTTCGATGCAAAATTTAACAAATATGGCTGGAAGTTAATAAGTTATAAAAACCTAGAACGGACAAATGATTGCGTTGCAGTCTATAGTAAATAATTTTCGTTAATAATTTATGGTATAATGCTACTTTAATTAAAATATGATATCAAGCAACTTTCATCGAAAAAAGAAAGAAAATAAAATAATTAAGACCAATCTATTAATTTCTAATATCAATAAAACCGAATTGAAATAATATGTATCTCGAAAAATATAATTTTGAATACTGCTTTGAAGTTGCCTTCGAGAATCGAAATTATTCGATTGTCGAGCTGTCACTAATATCGATACTTGCAGAAGGAGTTTACAGTCTCATCGAATTCGGTGGAACCTTGAATTCGAGTGTCAATATTATTAATGCTAGTAGCTGTGATTATATTGATAATTTAGAAACATGTCAACAAATAATGATATTAATTCTTTGAAGGATGAAAACGAAAAGAATAAACTCAAAGTGCATTGTACGTTTTGTCCGTCAGAGATGCTCAATATTGGTGCGGCTCGACTAGTAAATATTCAGGTGATTTCTTAAATCAAACAGTTGATTGAAAAGGTTAATTGTTACCGCAAATGATATTCTGAAAAATTTGTGTAGTCGATAAAGTGTCTTCAACTTTAATAACGAATACAACATAATGTTTGTGTTCGATCAAACTTAACCTCAAAGTTTGTTTATTTTGTGCCTTTTTGTTGAGTAGATTTCTTTATAATTATTAGAACAAAGTAATCGAAACTCTAGGATGTAAGTTGACTAAAGTGTATAATATTTTAGTTTAATTTACCCTATGTACACTGTAAGGGAGAGGACGAAGGTGATCAACAAGAATCGATAACAGATTATTGGCTGGTGGACGACATATACACGTTTGAAAATATTGGTGTATCTCATACGGTGGACAATGTAAAATACCTGGCATGCGCGGACTGCGAAAGAGGTCCTGTCGGATGGCACGATCTCTCAACAAAGAAGTCTTATATCGCGTTAAGTAGAGTTAAACACGAATGATTTATAAATAAAGTTATTTTTTAATTTTATGGAAATCATGACTCGATTCATTTAATCTAAGTTGTTAGATTAAACAGAAGCAGACAGAAGCAGAGAATCTGAAGAAGCTTGGAGGAAGAACGCACGTTGCTGTTTAAGTTGATAATTTAATATTTAATCACGTACGTTACAAACACAGCCGATAAATCAGATAATCAATCGTCGTTACGATATAATAATTAATAAATTACGCTTACGATTAGAAATGGTTTATCAATGTACTTAATACGTATACATTCCTGTGAATCAATTTTATCATAATGTATTTGATGTTTTTATCGCGACTATTTGGTCGCAAAAATGTTTATGCGCTGTGCATATCGGCATAATTATTTTATGTGACGTGTTGAACGCGTGAATAATATCTAAGTGTACATACTTATAGGTGTATTTGTACATGGATATAAATCAATGCCTTTCTTTTAAAAAAATGATATCGATATTTGAATTTCGCATCTTCGATGTATTTGAGAAAATGTAAATAAGAAACAATGTCATTAAAGTCTCGTCGAATTAATTCTTCGATATTTCTTCAAGATCAGAATAACTTTGTATGGCACTGTACTTAATTGCTGATCGCATAATTTGTTAATCGATTTATTCCTCGGTTACTTTATTTGTTCCATTTATCGAATTACTTGAAGAAGAAAATTTGCTCTCGATACAAATATATCGTGTATACATATACATATACATACATATACGTATACGCGTATACGTATGCATTTGCAAAGCGCTTTCAAAAGACTCAATTACAATTAATCGTTAAGTATGTTCTAATTGTTCTCAATTCGCTTAAAATATTGCAAAAATAGTCGCGTGTTCGTTTCGAACGGTATGCCACGATCACGATTTCAATTACATCACAGTTTTCTTTATTTTTACCTCATTTTTTGTTACCGGTGAAACTTCCTACGTTTCGTCGAAGCTTCACTCTCTTTACCGTATTATTACCAAACGTTCGAATCGAACGAAACATAATACGTATGCGGATGGCAGTCGAGTATGCAACAATTGTAACGACTGTAACGATGTACAAAGTTAACGCGTCGACTGCCTATGAATTAAAATTATCAATACAGGGTGTCTCACAAGTAGTCCTTGAAATGAGGACGTGATTCTGAATAAGACTTTACTTTGTAAAAATGGAAATTGAGGTTTTGTTTTTGAATTATTTACGCTCGCTAATTCGAAGCTGCCGCCCTCGCGTATGCGCGCGCAACCGCAACGACTGCGCACGCGCAACTCGCGCTCCGACTGGCCCGCGTTTTTCTTTAATAATTCAAAAACTAAGCTTCGCACCCCATTTTCGCAAAGGAAAATCTTGTTCAGAATTATCTACGCTATTTATGAGACACCCTGTATAATTCGAAATAGCAAATTTAATTTATTTTCGGCAACTTAGCAGTCGACGCGTTAACCGAAACGATGAGAGCGGGTAAACGCAACGATCGCATCCCAATAACAATGATAGAAATTTCGGATCAAGAATCGTGAATTAACAGACAAATTAACGATACAACGACAGAGCAGGACAGCTTGCAGTAAAAATGATAACGTGTCGATAAATATTAGAACGGTGAACATTCGATCAACGACGCATATTCTACTTATACTATGCTACGAGAATGTCTTTTGTTCAAAACTGCATACTTGAACGTATCATCTGGGTAGTAGCGTTTAAGGCTCGCCTAAATACGATTTTCGAACCCGTTATCATTTTAGATTCACTTTTGCGCATCGTTCGATACATAAACGTAGCCATTGTAACAAGCGAATTAACCGGCACCATATATGTATATATCTATATATGAATTTCCGTGTATCGGTATGTACATGTATATTAATACGTTCACGTAATTAGCAGAATCTGTGCTTTCTACCCGTGCCTTTGGTAGACGCAGTGAAAAGGTACAAAAATAAGAATAGAATCGGATAGACTAGAGAATCGGACAAATATATGTATATATATAATATGTATACGTATTTATGGACGTTTATGTTATAGTAGAAATCCGAAAGTCGTCGCTAATTGTCGAACAGTAATATTTTTCCTTTCATTAATACTTTTAAATCGAAGACAAGTAGCGAGCATAGATTTCGGACGTTACTCGAACATACACGCGAACCTACGTATTTTACTTTTCTTTCTGTCTTTCGTAAAAGATCATTCGACCGAATCTCTTCGGCTACAGTAGCGTATTTGCCTACTCGCTAAAAGACCGTGCCGAGACACGCTCTTCAGCTACCCTCGAGCAATTCTAAATTGTCGATTTAATGGCACTCTGAATGGTTCTAGGTTCTCCTCGTTTCCTTTTCGTTCAGACGAGAAAGAATAAGCGTAATCAAATTCGTCGCGTTCAACGGAACAGGTATTGCACGCTGTGCTTCGGAAGATACGAGTAAGCTAACATAAATCGACGATCAGCGCGAGTTTCATCGAAACGTATTTTTTTCTCGGGAACGAAGCAACGAAAGCGTTTTAATATCGAACACGGTGCTTCAGATTAAAAACTGTGCAAACTCGCGTGATTTAAATTCGATTAGTGCGAAAATTACTCTTCAACGTTTCGAGGAAACGTGTCTTTTTCCTCTGTGCCTCTCAAACTTCGGCCTCGAAGCCTATTCTTCCTTTATTTAAATAGAAGTTTATTCAAATTCGCCTTGCACACCGATAGCGTCGTATATAATCGTTATTTTCCCCCTTTCGGAATTTAACGAATCTGCGTGTGCAGCGTCCGAAGGTTAGTCACGTTAAGGGTGAACTTTCAAACGCGTTCTACGAGTTACGCGTTCTTGGATGACTTTAAGCGACTAGAAAGGTAAAGCCGGTTAAAACCGTTGAGAAATTCGAGGATTCACCTTCGTTTCGATCGTGAAACCGTAATTATGAAACTAGGTAAAAAGATTATCTTGTCGAATAACAATTTAAAAAATACAAAGATAATGTTAGAATAAAAGTACGATCGATGAGTAAAACGAAGGATCCTCGCGCAAAGGTGCAACTAATTACATGATTTAGGATTACGTGTCTTGGTCCGTGGCGTATTTAAACGTTAACGAGGTTATCAACGCACCCTATCACCTAAACGACTGCTGGCACGCGTATAAAACTCTTTTTCATCGACTTCGAACCAAACCCGGTCAATTCCGACCGAGTTGGGACGGTCGAAAAAAATTTTCTTCAAGATTTTTAGTTCAAGGAAATAAACAGTGCTGGATCTCTAAGGAGTTTGGAAACCTTTTTCGACCGACCAGTAGATCTACGGCAATATTCGTTGTGTCGATTACGCGTTAATCGCGAAGATACTCGGGAGAAGCTTATACGATCATCGTACACGTACGATCATCTACGAGCCTAATCGTAATAAATATAGCGATCGTCGATGTCCAAAAGGATCGATATTCTTCTTTCGACGATAAGTAGCGTGACAGCGGATATAATTATAGAAAATTCCGATTACTCTAGACGTTCGTCCTCGTGCGATTTTGAAACTTTGAGCGAAATCGTAAAACTCGTCTCTGTTGCTCGATGAAAACATCGAGTTAATGCGAACCGCCATTTTGGTCTAAATATTGCTGAGGTATTAAGGTGGTTGTATCATGAACGTTTAGTAGCACTTTACTGATATTTCAAGATCGCTTTTCTTCACTTTTTTTTTATTTTTACGAGCTCTGATATTTCGAAATACCTTTATTCTTCTTTTATCGGGGAGTATTCAAAATGGCTGCCTTTATTATTTCTGTATTTTTATGATGTTTGTTAGATGCTTAAGTTTACGCAAAATGCATTAAATGTAACGTTGAAAAAGCACTTGGAGGTAGGTTTTTAATTTACAACTCGAGTTAAGTTAAAAAAAATGATTCTTTACCGGTGAATATTCAAAATGGCTGCCTTTATTCTTACTGTATTTTTATGATGTTTGTTAGATGGTTAAGTTTACGCAAAATGCATTTAATATAATATTGATAAAGCACTTGGAGGTAGGTTTTTAATTTACAACTCGAGTTAAGTTAAAAAAAATGATTCTTTACCGGTGAATATTCAAAATGGCTGCCTTTCTTCATTCTTCTTGTATTTTTACCATGTTTGTTGAATGGTTAACTACACCCAAAATGCATTTAATATGTAACATAACGTGGAAAAAGCACTTGGAGATACGTTTTTAATTTGTAACTCGAGTTGAATTAACAAAAATGATTCTTCACCGGTGAATATTCAAAATGGCTGACTTTCTTCATTTTTCCTGTATTTTTACGAGCCTTAAATAGTTAACTATATCCAAAATGTATTTAATATAACAAGGAAAAAATACTTGTTGGAGGTACATTTTTAATTTGTAACTCGAGTTGAATTAAAAAAAATGATCATATAACCGTAATAATTCAAAATGGCTGCCTTTCTTTGTTTTTCCTTTATTCTTACGAGCCTTGTTAAATAGTTAACTATACCCAAAATATATTTAATATAACAAGGAAAAAATACTTGTTGGAGATACATTTTTAATTTGTAACTCGAGTTGAATTAAAAAAAATGATCATATAACCTTAATATTTCAAAATGGCTGCCTTTCTTCATTTTTCCTGTATTTTTACGAGCCTTGTTAAATAGTTAACTATACCCAAAATATATTTAATATAACAAGGAAAGAATACTTGTTGGAGATACATTTTTAATTTGTAACTCGAGTTGAATTAAAAAAAATGATCATATAACCGTAATAATTCAAAATGGCTGCCTTTCTTTGTTTTTCCTTTATTCTTACGAGCCTTGTTAAATAGTTAACTATACCCAAAATATATTTAATATAACAAGGAAAGAATACTTGTTGGAGATACATTTTTAATTTGTAACTCGAGTTGAATTAAAAAAAATGATCATTTAACCTTAATATTTCAAAATGGCTGCCTTTCTTCATTCTTCCTGAATTTTTACGAGTCTTGCTAAATAGTTAACTATACCTAAAATGTATTTAATATAACAAGGAAAAAGTACTTGTTGGAGGTACATTTTTAATTTGTATCTCGAGTTGAATTAAAAAAAATGATTATTTAACCTTAATATTTCAAAATGGCTGACTTTCTTCATTCTTCCTATATTTTTACAAGTCTTGCTAAATAGTTAACTATACTCAAAATGTATTTAATATAACAAGGAAAAAATACTTGTTGGAGGTACATTTTTAATTTGTAACTCGAGTTGAATTAAAAAAAATGATCATTTAACCTTAATATTTCAAAATGGCTGCCTTTCTTCATTTTTCCTGAATTTTTACGAGCCTTGTTAAATAGTTAATTATACCAAAAATGAATGTAATAAGTATGTTAAGTTGTACGAAAGCATCGTGTGACACATTTAGGTGTCCTAACAGTGACCTTGACAGATACAACCACCTTAAGTGGCTCGATCGATAAAAATCATCGTGCCTTGGCCTTGTTTCGTTCCGACTCCCAGTGTTTTCGGCCATCTCCGTGTAATCTTACCGATAACGTACGATAAGAATTAATGCTTACGAA